ACCACATGTTTACAACGAGAGTAGGGACGTACTTACTGATCCAAACTGTGGTAGAAGTCAACCATATACTCGACAAGGTCCGCAGTTTTCTTGTTGTTCAGCTTGCTCATCTTCAGTAGAAACTGGAAAACCACAATTTTACAACCGCTGTTGTAAAACGATAGGCCAGCGACAGACAAGTAAGTCGTTACTTCGCAAATTTCGTACTGCAGCACAGTCCGCTCTTTACTCAACGCCTCAGCGACATCCACTTGACTCACTTTGCACCTCACGTCTTCGCCTGAAACGCCGCTCCTCGAATCTTTCTCTAATCTGTTTCTATAAACAGCGTCAATAAAAAACTTCCCGGCTTCAACTAAAAGAAGCATTGCATTAAAAACTGTTCCTCCTGTAGCCATCGACGTACGCAGAAATGAATGCTGAATCTTCAACATCGGGAAACGTTTATCTGTCAATTCCGCTGGGTCAAAAACTCAACTCAACTTAAGGATTGTAATGTTATCATTTTAAAGGTTTGTTTGACTAGGTAATTACTGCCACGAAGTCAGGACAGTCTGCGTTGCCGGCCACCGTTTGTCCCGCGCCTTACGTCATGGCCGAAATAACAGTTAGTCAGTCTTCACACCAATAATGATCTGCTATGTCTATACGTGAGTTCAGTTCTGTCATAAAATTCTGAACGCAACGATGACCTACTCAATTCGACGCCTATCGCCTACCACATGGCTTTGCAACGTGAGCTCATGCTGCGACTAAATTATCAGGCATCCTGAAAACATGCCTAAATCGTCGCAGTTGCGTGATTTCCGGATTTGAAGAGCAACTCACAACTGACAGTACTTCATACAGCCGCGTTTCTAAGCTTATTGAATCTCATCATGAGCATGCAGCACTTCTGACCAATGATTGTGATAAGCGCATAGAATCATTAATGTTCGGATCTTCTTTCAGCACCACAAACCGAATTCGTCCATAATTACTGGGTCCGATCGTTTCGCACCTATGTCGAAGCGATGTATTTAAATAAATTGCACGACTATAGGAAATGTTCCCTGCTGCCTACAGCTATATTACAGCTTCATCTTCACAGTGTTTTCAACCACTGGAATTCACAGTGAGAGAACTTCCACCGCATTCTCTTTATCCTTCTTCATGTCGATCATTCCATGCAGCATAATCTCATTTCACGTCAAATTTTCTTAAGTGCAATCTCTTATTTGGCATAAATTTCTAAACGGGGAGTCTTACTTCATTTTGTATCGGCGAACTAATGGATTTGCTTTACAGTAAGTCAAATCAGTCCTAGTGTGCTCCTTATGATGGTGTTTCGGGTGCAGTGCTTCTAGATATTTAGTTCATACCACACGCCCATCTAATCATCCTCACTGCAACGCAACCCTCTAATGAGCGTATCTCTTCAACGCGCTTCAGCACTCAAGCTTCGTATTATTACCAATTTTTCTTAATTTGTGCTTTTACAATATTAGTACCTTTTCCGTTAGCTTAAGAAACATTTTCGAATCAAAAGATACTCCGTCTACTTCGCAATTTAAATCAGGCCATTTTTAGAGACCGATAACCTTTGAATATCTATTAATCAGCAAAAGAATAAGTGAAAAGGAAAGGTTTATAACGGCTGTAATGTTGGTTTTCCGCACACGGTCATTTTGGGGCTGTTCTACCGCCCTTGTTTTCATGAAGTTAATGGTGAGAGCGCTAGTCTCCATTTCCATGATATAAGGTTGGGGTATCCAATGTAATGCAAAGTCGACAACAGCCATGTGGCAAGCATAGTGAGTAATCTCTTGCTTTCTTCCAAGAGTGACACTCATTTATCAACTTCAGAATAAAGAAAGACGAGGGTCCTGACCGGGGCTCCAACCTTAAACCTCTCAGTTCCGAGTCCGATGCTGTACCGACTAAACAGCCTCGGTCTGAGGCAGCGTGTGGCAAATTCCTTTCTCAAACGAATTCATGGCTAACACAAAGTACAACAAGATTGGAGTTACGTCAAACACTCACAGTCATAACAGCAGTTTTCGCTTGCTGTCGCTATGGCTATAGGATATGACAGAACAAAATGGCAAAGAGTGTTAAGTAACGCAAGGGCGAGTTGAAGGAAATTAAATGAAACGATGGTTTTTCTGGAACGACAACTGAGATATGGAAAGGCAAACGAATAATACCTGGTTCCGAGCAAAGTAGATTGTAAAACCTTAATACGTACATTTTCGACTCATACTCCTTGAAAGCCCGGTCGATCGCTTTGCTGGAACTCTAAAAAGGCAGTGGTGCATCTTTACATTAAGCAACGCAAAGAAAAGCGCAACTCAAATCTACCTTATTTTTCGTGTTCGACTTTATTATGTTCTCCAATGGGAATATGAGGCCGTTCTGCAAGTTTCTCGCCAAGAACTGTGACAACACGCTCAGGTCTTTGAACAGTATACAAAACTGAAGCCATGCACTCTCTACAAAAAACAACCCACTACCGGAACCATTTCCGTCGTCAACCAGCCACCAGCCGGTGCCTGCTCTTACTCGTCTCCAGATTGCTATCGTATACGATACAATTGGACGCGTTGACACCAGCCAGACCATCAAGACTCTTTACCAGATTTTCCTCACAATGTTGACGTTGAAGTTCCGCCTCGTGAAGAGCTTTCAAATTCTTGCATAACTTACTAATTGCATCCATGTCAAAATCGAAGTTCTAAAACATGTCTTGATTTAAAGAATGAATCGAAATTTGTAAGCTGAAAGACAAAGCCCGACTAGATTGAGAAAGTTTCATCGCCAATCACTTTTGATTCCTCAATTTGCTTGCAGGCTCGCAGATGGAATGGTATATAATTAGACGGACTTTCTCGGTGCGCGTTTTTAGAGTACTGATTAAATTTAGTTAGGCTACGCACTGCATGAAGCGTGCAGAAGACTGTCAAATGAATTTTACATGAATATGATTGAACTAACAGGTTTCGGTCTAGCATACAAATGAGTTCCAAGGGACGGGCAAGTGTCAGCGTGAATAAGTGCAAAGTGCCGATTTAAACAATGTCCTGTAAGTTCTACGCTTGACCGTTTCATATGCCTTAAGATTACCGTGCAAAATCGTGAATGCAACGAGGGCGATCGAATCCTTTACTTACTACAGAGAGTCGTAAAATTCGTGTGTGATCCACAGGAACATCGAAAGACTTTAATGATGAAACAAACGCTAAGCATAACAATGGTAGAAAGAGAAATGCAGCAGTATAGTTCATGCGCTAACGTGCATGTATCAAGTTTAAATTTAAAAAAATATTAAACACATGAAAACAAAAAACGCAGTATACACAATGAAAACCAAAATGGAAGGAATCATCTACTATAAGAGATAATCTATTAAAGTTCATGATCCAACTACATAACACGAACTGCTTCATAGACTGCATACTCCGTTTTGTTCGGAAGTGATATATTAAGCAACTTTCAGTCCGGAAAGTAAATTTCTTACCGAGTCAGAATCGTATGTACAGACTCGTATGTTGCGTCAAGTCAATGACGATTACCTTAGGCATGACTTACAGCTTCCGAATGCTTTGTATGACTGTCAGTGATGGTCAGGATCTTAAGATTAAAAATGCTCCGCTTCGTCATTAGATAGAAAACACATTTGACATCTGTTAACCTTATGATGTACTTCAATTTAGCCAATCTTCGTTCTGATAATTACTATGACCAGTGGGCGTCCGACAGTATAGAGACACCAGGATACACTAAAAACTACGAGAGCATTTTGAACACTTTTCTGATATACATTAGTCCTCCATATTTTGCTAATGATTTATTGTGATAAATCTGATTTCTAACATTATCATTTTCTGAATCCCAGGAATATGTCCTTCTTACATCTGACTATTCAAAAAAGGTACTGTTTATTACAGTATCACCTGGAAGGCTGAAGCGATGTAATCGACACTTGCTTGTAATTTAGCAATAATTTAACCATTCGCGCTTTTTCATCGCTTTCTTACAGCGGATTTCCTCATATCAGAACCTATCTTTGTATTGAAACTGCCGTTTATTTTCGTCACAGGGAATATACTACAAGCAAATTAACATAATGAGTAAAAATTACCTCCAGTATTTTATTATATATACCTAAGGATCGAGATAAATCTGTTGGTGTTCGAATATATTTTTGTTCGTCTAAAAAAAGTTATGATCCTCGACGCCCAATCACAGCAGGAGCTAGAATACCACTGAGCAGTCGCCCACTTGACCAGTCTTCCAGACTAAATGAAGTGAGGGGACGGTGCGACTACGCCGATTGAATCCGCTAAAGTCACGTAGGTTATTGTCGCTCGACAAGTAACTTATGAGATTACTCCGCATAAAAAATTTCTCATCCACAAGTTCTCCAACGTTTCGGATCATGCTCGATCCATTCCCAGAGAATGACATATTAGAAATAAGCTGCCATAGTTATTGTCCGCCATAACAATGGGTGCCACAATAATTAAGCACAAATTTTAAAATGAAGGTTTTAACCTCGAACTCCACCACTGCCAGTCCCAAACCCGGAGGAGAAAGATAGAAGCTTGGAGACCGTGGCGAAATCTCCGAAAAAAGTCACCAGCTACTCATGGTACTGACGCCATCGAAAATAATACCGGCTCGTTCGTCCGGGTTATCAAGGGCCACGCAGGCTGTCATGGGACCGAAACAGACTGCGAAAAGTCGGCGATCAGAACCTGCTCACCGCATTCTAACAGGCTGGGCGGAGGGGAGCAGCACAACAACGAC